ACAGATGAGTGAAATCATTTGGTACTTGTCTTTCTCTGCCTGGCTTATTTCACTGAGCAGAATACCCTCTAGCTCCATCCATGTTGTTGCAAATGGTAGGATTTGTTTTCTTCTTATGGTTGAATAATATTGCATTGTGTATATATACATCTTCTTTATCCATTCATTTACTGAAGGGCCCTTAGGTTGCTTCCATTTCTTGGCTATTGTAAATAGTGCTGCGATAAACATAGGGTTGCATATGTCTTTTTGAAACTGGGATCCTGCATTCTTAGGGTAAATTCCTAGGAGTGGAACTCCTGTGTCAAATGGTATTTCTATTTTGAGTTTTTTGAGGAAACTCCATAAGGCTTTCCACAATGGTTGGACTATTTTACACTCCCACCAGCAGTGTAGGAGGGTTCCCCTTTCTCCGCATCCTTGCCAACATTTGTTGTTTCTAGTCTTTTCTATGTTGGCCATCCTAACTGGTGTGAGGTGATATCTCATTGTGGTTTTAATTTGCATTTCCCTGATAATTAGCAATGTGGAGCATCTTTTCATGTGCCTGTTGGCCATGTGAATTTCTTCTTTGGAGAAGTGTCTATTCATATCTTCCACCCATTTTTTAATAGGGTTATTTTCTTTTTAGGTGTTGAGGTGTGTGAGTTCTTTATATATTTTTTATGTTAACCCCTTGTTGGATATGTCATTTACAAATATATTCTCCCATACTATAGGATGCCTTTTTGTTCTGCTGATGGTGCCCTTTGCTGTACAGAAGCTTTTTAGCATGATGTAGTCCCACTTGTTAATTTTTTATTTTGTTTCCTTTGCCCAAGGAGATGCGTTCAGGAAAAAGTTGCTCATGTTTATATTCAAGAGATTTTTGCCTATGTTTTCTTCTAAGAGTTTTACCATATATAGTTTTATATGATAATGAATGGAGAGACACTTATCCCTAATTTACTAGGGGTTCAAAAGGGGACCATAAATCATCTATGACACAATGCCTTATGTGTTCTGTTACTGTGGCATTAAAAACTGTGCTGTAAGAGCACAAGGAAGGAAAGTCTGAGGAGTCTGAGGAGAATCAAGGAAGACTTTACAAAGCAGGTGACATCTGAGCTATGCCTGTGAGATGAAAACAACTTCCCAGACAAAGCGCAAGCATGGAAAGGGGAAGTCTACCAATGCACAGAGGAGAAATCTCAGCCATCACAGGAGAAAAACAACACAGCTAATAATCAGGCACTGAATTTAAAACTGTGTTTCAGAGTAAGCTGCTTTAGTTTGTCTTCTCTAAGTCTCCATGTCAATTCTCCATATTCTTCCTGTATTAAAATTTTATTCTTGCCCTTTGTTGCATCACAATGATTCTCTTTCAGCTTTAATATGTAAGTATTGAGCAGAAGCATTAGAAAGAGCACACTGGAAAGTTTTACAGCAAAGATCCACTTACCAGACACTTCCTTGAGAGGAATAGGCCCATTGGCAGCAACACGTGGATGTGGACCACCCACACCCTCCTCCCTTTTCTCAAGAAAAGGGGAAAATAAAAAGGCATGCAGGAAGCAGAAATGGTTTATTAGCTTTGGAAGCTCTAAGGATTTTGGCTCTGTAGCAGTATTTCCAACCTATTCTTAAGACTCTACAACTCTGGTGGGAAATGGAGTCAGCTGTACAAAAGGATTGCAGCTCCCAAATTTGGGGAAATGAGCTTCCATGTGAGTCACAACAGGTCAGAAATCACTAGTGCCAAGGAAAAGCACCAGCTGGAGGAGGCACTGAGCCCAGCACTATGCACCAATGACGCTGGCTCTGTGGCGGATAAGATGTTATCCTCTGCAGATGGGAGAATAACACCCTAACTTCTTCCTTGGACACTGGCAATTTCCTCACATGTGAAACATGGAAATAATAAAGCAACTGCCCTGCTTGACTCACATTTGGTCCTGTTGGGAAGATGAAATAAATTAAGAGACATGAAAATGCTTAGAAAAATTGTACAGCAGATACAAAGTATTGCATTTATTGTGCAGAAAGCTCTAAGCCTACTTCCTGCCCTACCTGGAAACAGGCAAAGGCCAAGTGATCCAAGGCATCCTCTAGGCTTGCCTCATCCTCTGTCTTCCATTCTCCATAAGATCCTCGGAAGAGACTGACAGCCTCCTGCAGCCACGGAATGGCATGGTAGTAATCCCCCATGTCATAGGCCACCTTTAGGGGACATAAGTACCATCATTAAAGCCTTAGTCCACAGGTAGGGAAAAGGAAATGACAAAGGGCGAGAGTGCCTTTGGAACTCAAGAAGGCAAGGTTTCATCTCAAATTCATTTAAATTCAATTTATTAAGCATCTATTATATACAATACATTGTTCTAGATTCAGAGAAGACACAAAGTTTCTTGTATTTAAGGAATTTTAATCTGGGGAGAAAAGACATATGAACTATTATAACTATAACACTGGTCAGAATGACACGAATCCTAGAAGAAAATGCACATAATTTGTTGTGGTGGCACAGAGAAGGCAGGAGATGTGAGAATCTCAGGCTCCATGGAAGAAGTGGCATCTGAGATAGGCCTTCCTTGAAGAAGAAAATGGATTTCAAAGAGTAGAGATTGGGAGAAGAGCATTTTAAGGTGAGCAAATGACAGAAACAAAAGCCTCAAAGCAAGAATGCTTTCAAGTAGTATATTGTGGCTACAACCTAAGGGGAAGGGAAACAGAAAATAAGCTTAGAAAGGCAGCCTGCGATGAGCTAGTGAGAATAGGAGATGTCATGTGTTTTAGGAAGATATTGCTGATAACAATGTAAGAAATGGATTAAATTAATTAACTCATTTATTCAATTTTTACTGAGTATTTACAATGTATCTGGTGGTCCTTGACCTTAAAGAGCTTATGAGGAGGACGTGCTGTGCAACTATTCCTGTGACCAACTAATATTATGATTGAGAATTTTTGTGCCTCTTTATCCCCCTCACCCTCTCCACCCATCCACCCCAACCCCTCCCCCATGGTAACCACCAGTCCTTTCTCAGTGTCTATGAGTCTACTGCTGTTTTGTTCATTTTGTTTTGTTTTGTTTTTAGATTCCACATACAAGTGAAATCATTTGGTACTTGTCTTCCTCCACCTGGCCTATTTCACTGAGCATGATACCCTCTAGGTCCATCCATGTTGCAAATGGCATGATTTCTTTCTTATGGCTGAATAATATCCCATTGTGTGTATGTACCACATCTTCTTTATCCATTCATCTAGTGATGAACAACACTTTGGTTGCTTCCATATCTTGGCTATTATAAGTAATGTGGCAATAAACATAGGGGTGCATATGTCTTTTCAAATAAGGGATTTTGTTTTCTTTGGGTAAATTCCTAGAAGTGGAATTACTGGGTCTTATGGTATTTCTATTTTTAGTTTTTGAAGAACCTCCATATTGCTTTCCACAGCAGCTGCACCAATTTATATTCCCACCCACAGTATAAGAGGGTTCCCTCTTCTCCACATCCTTGCCAATACTTACTATTTCTTGTCTTTTGGATAGGGAACATTCTAACTAGTGTAAAGTGATACTCACTGTAGTTTTGATTTGCATTTCCCGGATGATTAGATGTGGAATATTTTTTCATGTGCCTGTTAGCTATCAAACAAGGGGCACATGAGTAAACCAATCATTGTGACACAATCCATTAGCCCCACACAGGAATGCTAGGAGAGCTCAGGGAATTTGTTCTCACGTTGGAATGTCGGAAGGCGGGGAATATGACAACATGTGCTAGACATAGCTCCTGTTGCCTAAAAGCTTACAGTTAATGAGAAAACCAGCACTGCGGGCAGAATTTCCTGAAAGCTGATGTTGGAGACAGCATGGGATTATAAAGACACAGAGTTGGAAGGACTCTCACAAAATGATCTAATTTAGGTGTAACATCTGGACTGGCAGAAAGACAGGGCAGAACATGAAGATTCTGCCACTCTGCAGCCTAAATAATAAATAAATGGCTGTTTCAATTCTGCCATTAACCTTTCTGTGTTATCTCTGGTCCTCAAGTTTCCCCTTTATAAAAAAGGTTGAGTTGAAGAACATCTAAAAATGACAAAACTTTTCCTGCTAAATTAATATGTTTAAGATTACCATGAGGAACTTCAAGTCCCAACAATATGATAGATTGAGATAACTGGAATTCTTCCAATCACAAAGACTTAGAAATTTTGAGTAAAATGTAACAAGCATTTTATCATATTTTTTCAAGAAAGAATGGAAAATACTGAGGTACAGAAATAAAAAAGGAACTAAAAACCAAGCAATAAGCATATCAGTAAATGCTAAAGCTGCCTAGCATTGGGGTGGATGTTAATTTTTGTAATCTTGGTACTTAATAACCTTAGGCTATAATGCCCACACGAGGATAGAAGATGAGCCTTCTTCAGACTCCCAAAAACTAGGAATTGGAGCTAAGATACATTCATAAAACTGAAATCTAAGAAAAAAGAAATTACTTATATCTTTTTTTTTTACTTTTTAAAATTAAAATATCACTAATATACAATCTTATGTTGGTTTCAAATGTACCTCACAGAGGTTCGACAGTCCCTATGATCAACATATTGTGATTACACATTATTGTGCCTTTTAATCTCCCTTCCCCTTCCCCCCACTGCACCCACCCCAACCCCTCCCTCGTGGTAACCACTAGTCACTTCTCAGTGTCTATGAGTCTAATGCTGTTCTGAGGAATTCCTTATATCTTAAAGGAAAGGGTAGACAGGAAAAAATCTACCCAGTGTTACAAGGAGGGAAGAAAGTTGGTTTGTTTCTGCCTGGGCTCTGTTTAGGGAAATAAAATATCTCCTTAGAATATTCACAATCTGGAGTTTTTGCTTCCTGTGAGTTTAGGGTTTGAATTTGCATTATTCATATAGTTAAGGAACCACCCCCATCCCCAACAAAATAAATCTTTAACAATGGATCTAAGGCCACTGCAAATCAAAACTATGAGCAATCACCTCACACCTGTTAGAATGGTTGTTATCAAAAGGATAAGAAATAAGTGTTGACAAGGATGTGGAAGAAAGGGAAGCTTCCTGCACTCACAGTTGGAACGTCACTTGGTGCAGCCACTTTGGAAAGCAGTATGGAAGTTCCTCAAAAAATTAAAAATAGAACTGCCATTTGGTCCAGCAATTCCACTGCTGGGCATTTAATGAAGAAAATGAAAACACTAACTTGAAAAGATATATGCACCCCTATGTTCATTGCAACACTATTACAACAACTGAGACATGCAAACAACCCAAGGGTCCATTAGTGGATGAATGGATAAAGAAATGTGGTGTGTGCGTGTGCATGCACACATGCACACACACACACACACACCACTGTGATATTACTTGGCCATAAAAAAGAAGGAAATCTTGCCATTTTCAACAGTGTGGATGGACCTAGCAGGCATTATGCTAAGTGAAATAAGTTGGACAGAGAAAGACAAATATCATATATTCTCACTTAAATGCAGAATCTAAAAACAGAAAACAAACAAGAAATGAGCCCACAGACACAAAGAACAGATTGGTGATTGCCAGAGGATGGAGGGGGCGTTGGGCAAAGTGGGTGAAGGGAATCAAAAGGTACAAACTTTACATATAAAATAAATAAGTCATGGGGATGTCATGTACAGTAGGAAAAAAAAAAAGCATCTAAGGCTAGTGGTACCACCAGGGTACCTAGAAGAAGAAAACCTAAAGCTCGGTGGAGTGATATTCCCCCAACTCCAGGCTTGGAGATTCTTCTGGGGGAAAAAAGCCCTGCTAAAAATAAGCACATAATCAAACATAAGAAACCATATTAGGAAATAATCAAACATGAGTAAGAGTCAAGAGTCAACAGACAATAACAGCATTGTAGAATTAGACATTCAAGAATTTCACATAATATAAAGGCTGATCTGCTTTAAAATAACCCATAGAAGACAGAATTAGACACATGTAGATGAAACAAATTTGACCACATGTTAATAATTATTGAAGCTTATTCTTTGATCCAGCAATACCACTCTCAGGAATTTACCCAAGAGAAATGAAAATAAATGTCCACAGAAAGACTTACATATGAATGTTAACAACAGCTTTATTCACAGTAGCCCACGCTAGAAACAATCCAAGTATCCATCGGCCAGAGACTAGGTAAAGTGTGTGGTATATTCATACAATGGAATACTACTCAGCAATAAAAAGGAATCAACTACTAATAAATGCAACAACGTGGATGAATTTGACAGATATAATGTACTGAGTGAAAGAAGTTGGACTCAGAAGAGTACATATTGCATGGCTCAGGACACTTAGTACCAAGTACCTGGGCAACGGTAGAATAGAATGGGTGGGGCGTGATTAGAAGGAAAAGGAGTGTGGCTTTATTGAGCTATAATAAATTCCTTTTTTAATATTAATTTTTAATGCCTTATATTTTATGTAAATTGTCAGAAACCTGAAAAAACTACAGAAAAATTTGAACATTTATATCATCTCAGTTATAGATACAATTGTTTATTGTATTGTTTTAGGTAATTTTCTTATATTGGAAATATTTCACCTTTTAAAATAAGTAAAAAAAATCCAGAAATAAAGAGTGCCTGTGAGGCTTTCAGGAAGTGTTTTACTAAATTTTCAATTTGTGGTTTTAAAAAAAGCCTCAATAATAAAGCGTATATTGGTACCATACATGGAACTACTCTAAGTCGCTTAAATTTAAATAAGTTACGAACAAAGGATTGAGTTCTGATTCCATTCAGGATCTCAGAAAAGTAAAAATGGTACATTGAGGGGCTTAGGGCACCTACTTTGAATTAATTTGGAAGACTGATCCCCAAAATTTGGATCCAGGACACCTGAGGCCCACTCTCAGATGTGCTAATGTATACTGTAAGAGGCTGGAAAAAATTCACTTTCCTGAAATACACATCTTCAAAATTAAAAAGGATTTGCTCCATTTCTTCTTAAGGCAAAGACTAACAAAGAGAGTATTGTAAAATTACCTCAAGTATGCTGATAGCTTACGATCAAAGATCAGTTAAATATCTCATATGGAACATTCCTGAAGTCTATCTCCTCAAGTAACGTTAAAGTGAATGGCCTAGTTTTTGGACACTGCTTTAATTTAGTATTTCTAGATGCTTAGGAAATGTTGCAAGGGCTTCCAGAAAGTCTCAGGAAGCTGAGTTTCCATGATCTTACCTTCACATCACCATCTCTAATCCTTCCCCCCACCCATTAATCTTTCTTTGCTTTTCCACCCAGCTGTTCATTTACTGGCAGGCAGCTATAGTCAGGGTGACCAAAGGACCATTTTGCCCAGGACAGTCCCAGTTAATGTCTGTAATCCTGGCATAGCAAACGACCCTTTCATGCTCAAGAGAGTCATAAGTAAATGATCACCCTGGACACCATGGAAAGAGCATGGGATTGGGAGTTAAAAGACCTGGGTTCAAAATGTAGTTCTGCTACTTAAAATTGTGTAACCTTAGGCAAGTTTTTTACCTTCTCAGAACCATAGTTTCTTCATCTGAAAATGATGAATAATACCAAATTTCCAGTTTGCTGTGAGGATTAGAAATATGTAAAAGCAATCAGACCATAGTTATTTCAACCACAAGAAACTAGAGCTGAGCAATTCGCCCTTTCTCTGAATATTGTTACCTTGCCAACTTGGAAGCAGTCATCTGCTGTGAGGGAGAAAAGCTGTCCCGGACTATACAGATCAGTGACAGCAGAGCCAGCAACTCTCTGAAAGACGCCTCTGGCAAGGCCCTTCACGTTGAGCATGTACACATCCTGCAGCCGCATTAGAGCCCTTGCTGCCCCCTCAAGGTCCTCAAAGGCCGGAAGGTCCTGCTCCACCTTCTCATAACCGTCCTTCAGAGCTGTGCAGGTAGCAAAAACATCAATCCACCATTCAAAAACAGGTGGTGAGCACTTAATATGTGCAAGGCATAATAATCACCCGTTCAATATACTGTGAGTAAAGGTAATGTTTTATCTGTTTTTGTTCCTGGTGGCAACTACAGTTCCTGGCACAGAGTGGAGGCTTAATACAACCTTCTGAATGAGGAACACACGCTCTGGAGTGAAAACCAAGGTACACACCTTTACCTTGTTGTTCCATCCTGTGTCTCAGGGAATCTTGCCCTTTATGAGGACAGCTCTTCTGCCTCGTAACTTCCCCAGACAAGCAACATGACTTCAAGTACAAGGTGAGTAAATTAGGAAAGTGATCTTGCTACAGATCACATTGTAGTGGCAACTTAATAAAATAAAAATTACTGGTAGACATTACTTTCTACACATAAGTAAATGGGATGATAACCTGTACTTCACAGGATTGTAGTGAAACTCAAATGAGATAATGGATGTGAAAGTGTTTTCTAATATATAACTGTATAAACATATTAACAAGGGACCTAGTTCTGCATAATAGCTAGAGTTAAGGAGACCAAGCAGTACCCACCCTCTTCATTACCCTTTGTCACATCCCATCAGAATCTCTCTTGTTGCCACTGAGCCAAAAGATAGAATCTTCTCGTACCCTTCGGCCCTCCTCCTCATTACCTCGGATGTTCTCACTGGCCTCCAGACTATGTACCACATTCCTCCAGTCAGACTGTAGGCGTTTGATGAGAGTAAACGCAAGCAGAGGGTTAGACACAGGGGTGGCCGAGTCCTCATGCAAAGAAAGCACCTTGTCATAGAATCTGAAAGAGAGGAATAGAATGACCTCACCGACTGATACAACAGCTACATCAGGGAAGGCTGGCCTGGGGTATATACAGTAAGAGTAGTTAAAAATGAAATGCTGAACCTCTTGAGAGTCATGTACAGTTATAACCAATAAGCCCAAAGAATATGAAAACTACCAACACAACAAAAGTAGGTCCATTCATTTGTTTATTCAGTGAGTCAGTTTGTACCAGCCAATTACAGTACATCAGGCACCATGCTAGGTGCTGGAGAAACAAAGGCAAGACAGTGTCAAGCTCTCATGAACTTACTTGCTAGATGCTGGCAAGGCAGGGTCCAGTGCTCAAGGATTTCACTGATGAGAAAATAGCTCTTTTTCTCATCACTGTATACCTAAAATTCAATATATATATTTCTATGAAAGGATGAATAAAATATACTCTTCTAGGAGCTAGATGAGTAAGACAATTACCTTGGTCTCAAGGACTCACAGTATAGTGGGTAAGATATACACAAATAATTATATTCCTGGTGCAACACCTGATTCAAGAACAAGGCTTAGGGGAGGACAGAGAAGGGTGGTCAGTTTAGCCAGAGCAGGTCTGAGATGGTTTCACAGAGGAGATAATAAACCCAAGACTTGATAATATGAATGCAAACAATGAGGAAGGGAGGAGGAGGCCTCCTTCCAGGCAGGGATAGTCCAACATATGCAAAGGTACAGAGAGAGAAACAGTAGGTGAATAATTACCAGCAGTTTAGTGTTGTTGGAGCACAGGATTTAGTGGGCGGATGGGTAGACCAGACTGGAGAAGTGTGGAGTACCTCATCGGCCTTGCTGAGGAGTTCAGTTTTTACCCTGAGTGCAATTAGGAGCCACCGAAGTGTTTTAAGTAAGGGTAATATACATTATGTTTACATACATAAATCTGTGAGAGGATGGGAGGAGAGTTCAGGAGTGGAAGTGACTGGAGGCAGAAAGACCAGTTAGGAGGCCAGTTCAAAACTGTAAGAGAGATGAAGAGAGTCTGAATCAACACAGTGACAGTGGGGGCGGAGAAAGGGATGGATTCGGGAGGTATTTAGGAAATAGACCGCATAGAACCTGGTGACGGTTGTAATGGGAAATGAAGAAATGGGGTTGTCTGGAATGCTTCCAACCTTTCTGGTTTGCCAACATTTGTAGAAAAGGGCCAGAACTGGTGATGCCAAAGTGATGATCTCTCCAGTTAAATTCTCTCCTCCTTGGATGTCCTACATGAGTGTTCATATAAGCAAAGGATGCTGTCTTCTTTCCTGGTATACTATGGTTACTACATTTCTAATACACTAGTAGGATTAATATTATTGACATTTATTGATTTTAATAAGGCAGGCTTAAGAGTTCTAGTCCTGCCTTCTAAGAATTTTTCCTTATTTTAAAATCATTAATTTCAAAAGCAATATAATAACAACAATGGAAGTTAAAAAAAAAGTGTGTGCAAAGAGAAAAGGATATGGAGTTAAATGAAAGTGTGCAAGAGCATGTGAGAATACAGGAGTCCTTTGCCCAGCGTGGGGAACTTCTGCGGGCGGAAAGGGGAGAATGTAAAGAGTTGAAGGAGCGGTGAGGGGTGGATTTCACTCCCGTGAAGCAGTCTGACCTGAGGATTTCTCAAGGATGGAGCCCTCAACTGTGAACAGAACCTCAAATAGATGACTTGCCTCGCGGTGCTTCCAGGGAGCCAAATGTCCAATTAAGCATGAACAAGGGGACAAGAATCTGGGCCAGGATGCCCCAGGGAAGAAATGAGAAGCCCGTCAGGTCCCAGGATGTCTCTGATCCCATGACAGAGTGATTTGACAGCAACAATTTGAAGGTTTTAAAAACTAAACCAGCCTCCAGGGTGTGGGATATTTTTTTACTACCCGTTATTCCCTACTTTGCCTTCATATGGAACTACTTAGTGAAAGATATTCCACTGCTGGACAAAAACACTTACAAGTAGAGACTTGGGCTGAGGCCAAACTGAAGACTGTGTCCAGAGACGACGGAGGCTGAGCGGGCAGAGATTTTGTAAGAGAGTTGGATAGGAAGGTGCTGGGAGGGGATCTGACAGGTATCCTGACCCAATTTCCACCCTGTAAAATGATAGAGCTGGTATAGTCTAGAAGACCTCTACAGGTTCTTTCAGCAAGACCATTCTATTCTTTCTCCCCATCATCATCTCCACAACTGAATAAACAGGCTCCTCATTTGGTGCTTGAGGACTGGGTTTTACCAGGCATCAGAGGAATCTGAGGCATCAGAGGCAAGGCAGAGAGGTGAGGGCTGCTCCCAAGGCGGCCACATCAAAAGCCCTACCTCCTTGTCCTCTGCATGTCCCACTTCCAATTACAGAGTCAGTTTATTTAGGGCAGGGGTTTGGTCTCCACTGCAAAGCATGAATCAGTTCAGTTGTTCAGATACATCATTTTTCTGTCACACAAAGGGAAAAAAGACCTATCAGCTGAAATCTGAGACTGGTTTGGAATCCGATCACTGGCCCTTTGCCCAGCCTCTGAGCAAATAGCTGGTTTTCAGACACTGAAACTTCAGGGTTTCCTAAATGGATTTTTGCTTTAACAAATGCTGCTGAGAGCGGAAAATCAGACCCTTGCCTTCAAGAATCTGCGCATAAAATTTGCAACCCAATCCCACATTAAACAGAGCCTGGACAGGTTATCCAGCCACAATACATGAGCTACTTTAATTGAATGTGTTTCTGCTTTGGAGTTCAGAAATGGCTTTGTCTCAGTTCTTCTGAGCATTCTGAATGTTTAATTACTGGCACAGAAATAATTGCTGCTTATACTCCTCTTCCAATCTTGGTAGATTTTTAAAACTGCAACAACAAAAAAGTTAGGGATTGAATATGTTGTATACATTTATATATATTGTATATATATGTGTAATTTATATATTAGGTATCATTATTATTATATACTAATATATAGCATATCATACATAATACAAAATGTATAATAATATGATATTTAAGTATATATTTATATTACAGATATACACATAACTAGTATATATACAATGCCAGTATAAAACTATCTACTGCAAGTAGTATAATAATGTTTATTCATTAACTTGAGGTTACAGTGTGTAGTTTCAACATCAAAAAATATTTCATTTCTAAATGTAGAATTCCAAAGAAGAATGTCAACTGAGGCCCTTTAAAATAACATCTCAAATTACATTAGATCACCAGATGGAGAGTATAGGAAAATGAGCAGGGAACCACAAAAATTCTTTTTTTAAAAAGCAGACATTTGACTAGGTTTAAGCATTGACTAGAGAACATTATTCTCTAAAATGTCAAACTAAACTTTCTGAAACAAAATGTTCATAAGTCATATGAGAAGAGAATCTAGAATTTTCCTGATTCTTTTTTAATACCCGAGCTCTCAGAATCCTACTTAACTGCTTAGAGTCAAAAGTGGGATCTAGTTTCACCAGGTAGTCTTAAAATAAGTAACAGTCATAAAGAGCTAACATTTGTTGAGCAATTATTACATTCCAAGCACAATCCGAACAAAATACCTTTAATGGTATTTAATCCTTCCAACATCCCTATAGTGGCAGGTATTATCATTATTATCATTTTACAGATAAGGAACTAATGCTTAAAGAGGTAAAGGAACTTGTCCAAGGTCAGAGCAAGGATTTAAACAGATGTATATTAAATTCCTGAATCCATACTCTTAACCACTGTGTAATACAGCTGCTCATAAAACCTCGGTGGTTCTAAGGCTTGCTCTGGGTCCTGGCATCTCAGGTAAAGCAAGAGTGGGGATATTATGGCGGGATAGAAACAATCAAAAGAGGTGTGTCCTAGTCCTGGATTTGCTACGTACTAGATTTATAATCTTGGGTAAGGTACTAAACTTTAATTTTCTCATGTTTTAAATGATTTCTCATGTGTTTAAAAGAGTAATACAAACCAGTTTCAAGCATCGTGTGTAAGAGAGAATAAAATGAGATCAGGGTTGTGCAAGACCTCCCATTGTGACAAAGCTGTGACAGTGACAGTGGTGATAAGATAGTAAAGGAAACTAACATGCCTGGGGGCCCTGGCCAGCCACATTGACCAACACTGCAAGCACTCTCCTCCGAGCCTGTTCCCTGAGAATCACATTGGGATGCTGATCCCCCGCTGCCACCCAAATAAACATATTAGTGGTCTGAGAACAAACACATGGGGAGCAGGCACCATGCAAGTATCAGAGAGAAGAGTCTGCTTTCTAGATCAACCAATGAGCCTGGACTCCAGTGAATCTGGACTTGAAATATAAAACATTAAAACATTAAGCTCTCTAAATGAGTGCCCAAAGAACAGTAGGCAACTATGCTACTCCAACGAATGACAAGAATTATTGAAATTATCATCATGTATTGTTATAATTTATACACACTTATCTACATTATATCTGTGTGCATATTGTCACACTATTTGAAACTACCAATAAATTTAAAACATTTGTATAACTTCATATGCAAGCTACACACCTAAAGCACATACCAAATTACATCATCATTCAGTCACCATTGAGTAACAAGATCTCTCACCCACACTTTCACACGTGAACTGATTCCCTTCGATGTGGGACCTCTCATACAGCCATTGTGTCTCATACACCTTCCCATGGACCCCAGGATTGGCATTACTATCACACACACTCACAGTATGCTCTGAGACAGCCCTCTCTTGTTTCGGCTCACTGGAGAGTCACATCATTATGTAAGCACAATATTAATATATTCAGATAGCAACATGGTTATACCACAGTTCATTACATTATAGGTTTCTTAATGTCCCAAGCAGAGAAGGTACAACATGTATTTATACACATGGTATCATATAATCATTCATCTTTCATACCTTGACACTGCAGTCCACACAAAGTGCCCCAGTGTTCCAAGTCTACAGTATTTGATCCTACAGAGTGTAGCACTAGTTTGTTGATTGTATAACAAAACAATAATGGCTGATTATCTGCCTATGTGTGCTACACTCACATTCCCCTAACATTAAGTATGGTTTTACCCAGTGTTTTCTTGGTGTGAAATACTTTTTTTTTTTTGAGAGGGCATCTCTCATATTTATTGATCAAATCGTTGTTAACAACAATAAAATTCTGTATAGGGGAGTCAATGCTCAATGCACAATCATTAATCCACCCCCAGCCTAATTCTTGTCAGTCTCCAATCTTCTGAACATAACAAACAAGTTCTTACATGGTGAACAAATTCTTACATAGTGAATAAGTTCTTACATGGTGAACAGTACAAGGGCAGTCATCACAGAAACTTTCGGTTTTGATCACTCATTATGAACTATGGACAATCAGGTCAAATACGAATATTTGTTTGATTTTTATACTTGATTTATATGTGAATCCCACATTTCTCCCTTTATTATTATTATTATTATTATTTTTTAATAAAATGCTGAAGTGGTAGGTAGATGCAAGATAAAGGTAGAAAACATAGTTTAGTGCTGTAAGAAGGCAAATGTAGATGATCAGATGATCAGGTGTGTGCCTATGGACTAAGTATTAATCCAGGCTAGACAAGGGCAGCAAGACATCCACGGATGCAGAAGATTTCTCTCAAAGCAGGGGGGGTGAGGTTCTGAGCCTCACCTCTGTTGATCCCCAATTTCTCACCTGATGGCCCCCCTGCGACTGTGCCTGTCTTAGGTTGTTCCTCCCTTGAGGAATCTTACCTGTCTCTGGCTAACCAGTCATCTTCTGGGGCCATACAGGGAAATGTAAAGTTGGTAAGTGAGAGAGAAGCCATATTGTTTGAAAAGGTTAGCTTTTTACTTCTTTGCAGATTTATGCCCTGTGGCTTCTATGCCCAGCATTTGTCTTGAGGTATCTTTACCACTTGGAGGAATTATGATACTCGGTGAATTTGATATGAGGCACGAATTCTATTTAAGGGTTGTAAGTAGGAAGGAAGAAGAAAATCTATAGAAGTAGCAGATGGAAGAAAACATGGGAAGATTGATTATTTCTTTGATATATCTTCTTGTAGAATAACTTAAGCATGTATAGGTTTTAAACTACTAATTAAATTGCGCACACACATTAACATAATAGGAATACAGTTACATAACCAAAGCAGATCTGTAATTACCAGCCATCTCCAGTGAAGCCAAGAAAACCAGTTAGGCACCCTTCAAATACTTTTATACACATATAAATTCTCAGTTATTTATTTAGAATTTAGAGAGCTCTTACATGTATGAAGAGAAGGGAGAGCTGAAAGCAAAGGAAGTGATGGATATCTCTGATTAACAATCATATGCTACACACTCCAAACTCCTTGAGGGGACTGTTGGGACTTGTTCGGCATTTATACCGGTGCCTGTGGCTCATAGTAGGCACTCAAACAAGTGTGTTGAATGAATTGATGAAATGAAGCATTAGTCATATAGTGACCTATACAATTACTGGGCATCTTTCACACACAGAGTAGAGTATGATCTCCAGATCATACCCATCCAGTCCCAGTGACACGTAAACCTCCTATATGGTCACAAAAGGTCACCTCATACTAAACACCAGTTTGCTGGGTCACATGGCCAACACATATATGGCTACAGTACCACAGAGAATTCTCTCCGTCTCACTCCCGCCCTGTCGGTGTGTCTCTGTGACACCGAGCCTGGGGTCCCACACAGTTGGACAGTGCCTGTGAGGTCCTTCTGGGCCTCAGCGTCACTCCACCACGCTTTTCCACAGTGTATCAACTTGGCTGTGTGAAGATGGCTCTGGAGAGAGAGCTACTTGTATGTGTGACAGAGTCTGAGTTTCCAAACTGTGTGACACACTGTGACACTGGGTCTGAGGTCCCATGCAGGGCGACACGCGGAGTCGGCCCCAGCCCTGTAGCACAGTGCCTGGGTCTCGCCCTCTGCCTCGGTCTCCCCCACGCAGGCCTTTCTGCCGCCGCGACCCCCGCGCCTCACCTGGTCAGGTCCCGCAGGCGCGCCTCCTCCCCGCGCAGGTAGCGCCGCAGCAGTCCCAGCAGCCGGCGCTCCGGCGCCAGGGCGCGCGCAACGCTGGTCAGAGCCGAGAACGTGTCCCCGCGCGCCGCGGCCGCCCCTGGGTCCCCCGCCCGAAGCGCCAGGACCGCCAGCAGAGCCGCCAGCCGCGCCGCGGGGCCCATCACCGGCGCTCGCGCGCGTCCCCCGGGCCGTCCCGCTCGCCCGAGCCCCGCCGCTCCCGCCGGGCCCGCCCCTCGGCCCCGCCCCGGGTGCTCGGCCCTCCCGGCCCCCCCGCCGCGCCCGCCGCCCCCTCCTTCGCTCCGACACCCACGCTGGCTCTGGAGCTCCCACTCTCCTGCCGCAGCGCCCCGCACGCTGCATCGGGGGCCTGCAGCCTCAGGGTCCGCTCGCGCCCCAGCCGAGCACACCCTGGGGAGGTGTTTCCGCCGAGCCCCTGTCACACGGGGGGAAACTGAGACGGGGGCGTGGGGAGGAAGGGGTTCACTGGTCTCTGGCTGTACAAGGCCAGCCCCAAAATATTCGCCTGTCTGGATCAGGGGGTGGAAATAGAGAAATACCACCGGATTCGGGTGGGGAAATCCAGGGGAGTAAACGGCGCAGTATGGTAACAGCGATGCCGGTAAAGAGCTGAGAGTGAGCAATAGGGAGGCAAACACCTCACGGAGGACGTGACATCCGAGTCATGTTGAAGGAGGAGCAGAATTCTGACCCGAGATGAAGACCGTGAAGGCAGCTAGGGTCAGTACATGACAAATCTAGGACCTGCAGAACCTAAAACTCTGGGGTCCTGGATCACTGCTTACACATTATACCTATAGTGATTTAAGCAAACAAAAATATTATTATTATACTCTACTAAGCTATTTATTTTTCCCCTCGTTTTCCCAGGCAATATTCATCCATTCGTTCGTTCATTTAACAATTATTTAGCACCTCTGTTCACTGTACTAAAGACACAGAGAAATAGCAGATCCAACCCTGGACTCCCAGGAGGAAATTGAGATGTAAACAACCATTATAAAGTGCTGTGGGGATAATGGAGGGTTGTGCAATGAGCAATGGCAACACGAGGAGGGGGCCCATGTCCATACATAGGTGATGGGGTGGGGTCCACAGAGGAGGCTATATGTGCAGGTCCAAAAGGATGCAAAGCAATTGTCTGGAAGAGAACAGGCAAGGGAGGGATGGGCTTTCCTGGCCGAAGGTACCTATGTGTACCGACCGAGGTTTGGAGATGCAAAATAGTTTGAGTTCCAGAAATGAAGGGAAGTTCCTTGTACTTGGAACTATCAGATTGTCAAGGAGCTTTGCATGGCATACTAACAAATTAGCCTATCTGCCGTGAAAATCCTATGGAAGGTTTTTAAGGTGGCAATAATAGTAATAAAACAGCAACAGTAAAGATAATACTGAGTGCTTTCAGTGTGCAAGGTGTTGTCCCAAGCATTTTACATGTATTAGCTTATTTAATTCCCATGCCTACTCTACGGCACAAGTGGTATTATTAGCCCCATTTTACAAATGAAAAATTGAGTTACAGAGAGGAAAAGTAACTTACTCAATGTTAATTACTTATAGATCACATTCAGAGGTGTGCTGGTAAACCAACACTCGAGGAAAAAAAGTCCTGATTTGTGACATTTGCCTATTTCTGTGGTGAAAATTCTCCTACAGTGACTGATTTCAAGGTACTTAGATGATATCTCTGAATGCAGTTGGGCAGACATGCTGACACTGGCTCTGTGAGCTGGTGTGAACCAACCCCAGCATAATACTGCTCATGACAAATAGGGAGAAGCACCACCCAAATCCCCCTTCAAGGAAGGACTTGCTGCACAGCTCCAGGGAGTGTAGTCAGAAGACTCTCCAGCAGTCAGCCCCTTCGGGGTCTCCCTGCAGCAGAGAACAGCTATACCTGAGGCCATTTCAGAACTTCCTTAGGCAGCCTGCATCCAGTACTGAGAGAGATGAGGGAATGAAGGCTCAGCTTAACTTAAACCATATGTCATGGCTTTGGCAAAGGCTTAAAGGCCCTCAGAAAGACTGTTAACAAAATCTGGAAGGGCCCCTAGGACACTGTCAATGAAGGCTTGAAGGCCAGTAAGGACAACATTATTGTAGGCTGGAGAAAAGAGCACGCAAGTACTGAAGTTCTGTATTGGAAGAACAGTTAGTGAACCTGTTGCCTGACAGTCACATAAAAATAAATAGAGGACATCCTCACAGATCATGAATCTGGCTAGAGAACCTCCAAGCAGAATTATAAAACACAAGAAAGAGACGAATCATAGAAGGAATGGCTTAGCATCCAAGCAGAATTTAGAGGAAATATAGAGGGTCCAGGACAATCTTTCCAATGATCTAAAGTTTCTCAAAGAAATGACTCAGGATAAAGAACAAGCCCAAGGTGCTGCAAGTAAAACATCACCTCAAGATCAAGCTCTCAGAGGTGTGGTTGAGAGACCCTTTGCTGAGACTTCAGAAAGATTTAAGGGCATGCTTAGTAGAGATTCGAAGTATCTTAAGGGCGTGTCTCGTAGATTCCCTCTGGTACACAAGAGAGCACCATAAAGAGTGTGTCCCACAAAATAGACTACTTCAGTCAGGCAAAAATTATTCTAAGTATCCTAAGGCCATTGTTCCGTAGTACCCTAACTCTCAGCCAAAGTTAGTGAAGGACGTGGAAAGAAATGAGGATGTGTTTTTGTCTATAAGAGTGAACTTCAATAAGATTTATAGGAAATCCTCAAAGTTTCCAGATAATTTAATTAGAAGAAGCACTGCTAGTTTGGGCTAGACAGAACACACACACACACACAGCCTTTAGACTCCTGTATCATTTCCTATCGTACTGTAGACAATTACCCACAAACCCAGTGATTTAGAACAACTCAGATTTATTATCTTAGAGTCTGGGAGTTCAGAAGTCTAAAATGGTTTTCACTGGCTGAACTCAAGATGTCAACAGGGCTGTTTCTTCTGGACCCTTGATCTGTAGCCCCTTCAAAGCCAAAAAACACATCTTTAAATCTCTCTTTGATTTTGCTTCTGTCACATTTCCTTCTCTGACTCTTTTAAGGAGCCTCATGATTACATCAGGCCCACCAAGATAATCTCCATCTTAAGATCCTTAATTTAGTCATACTGCAAAGTCTCAGGGTTTGGGAATTAGGAGATGGGCATCTTCAGGGGGTCATTATTCTGCCTACCACAACTCCCAACTTTTATCTGTGGGCAGAAAGCAGGTTCTGATGACTACTCAGTCACAAACATAGGTCCATGGCTGTTTCAGCATTCCCACCATGGGGGAAGTGTTATGAGGGGAAGTGCAGAGGAGAGGATGTCAGAGTGAAAAGAGATAACCAATTGCAGTTAAAATAGCTTTCTTTGGCAAGTTTTACAGATACATATAGCAATGTGAACACACTCCTAGGCTCCCCCATCTCCCCAGTCCCAAGGGCCTTGGAGAGAGTTTTGCAGTTTAGGGGCTTTGACACTGAAGTTTCATGGTAAAACTGTCTCTAGTAGCCATTAGAAATATGGATTATGGATTCATACTACCTGAGTTCAGGTCTCTGAACTAGCTATGTATGTTGTTGCATTGATGTTACAGATGGGGTTCTTCAGAAACAGATGCTGAGATGGAGCTTGGGGTGCAAGATATTTATTAGGGGTCAACATCTATGAAAGGGGGAGGAAGCAGGAAAGTGCAGAGAAACAGGTCAAAGAGGCCTGACAAAGCTTTGATGAAGGTGTTAAGAGTGCTGGAGCTAGTATTTCTTGTGAGATCTATCTCATGTTGGGTCTAAATGGCTGGGTTTTTATGCCCTCACCTCACTCAGTCACTGTCTGGGGTTCACTGTAGGCTTATGTCTCTTGTCAAATTTGGGAACTGTTCATATGTTATTTCTTCAAATAGTTATTTTTCAAATTCTTCTGAAATTCTTGTAACATGAATTAGCTACTGCCTCATAGGCTTTGTTCATTTTTTAAAGAATCTTTTTTCTCTTTATTCATATTAGATTATTTCAAGTTAACTCTTTCCTCTGTCATCTCTATTCTGCTAATGAGTCTGCCAGTGAGCTTTTAATTTTGACTGTTGTACTTTCAGTTCTAACATTTCCATTGGATTCATCTTTATATCTGCTATTACTTTGCTGATATTTTGTATCTTTCCATTAATTTCAAGAGTGTTCATCTTTATTTCTTAGAGCATCTCGTAACACTCAGACAATTTTCAACATTTGTATTATCTTTTCCTGTATATCTGTTTATTGTCTTTTCTCAAACTTGAGATTTTCCTGGTTCTTCATATGCTGAGGAATTTTTTTATCAAATGCCCAATATTTTGAATATGTATCTAGATCTTATGGAGAATATTAATATTTTTGTGTTAGCATGCAATCAACTCAGTTGGATTCAGGCCAGGAGTCCTGATCTGCCTTCTGTGGCTGTGGTTTCAATGTCAATTCAGTTTTCAAAGCTTTTGCATGCTGCTCAGATCTGCCCCTGTTGTGTAACACTCAGTGGTTAGTCTTGGATCTGGACAGTGGTCTATCCCATGCCTCAGTTCTCAAGTCTATGGTACACTACTGAGCATCAGATCCATGCATGCACAGCTGAGGCGTGAGCCCAGGAATTCTGGGGTTGATCTCTTGAGCTCCTCCCTCTCTGCTATCTCTGATAGTTTCCAGTCCCCTGAGGCTCCCTTTTTGGTTGTCTGGCCAAAAATGTGGGCTTTAGCAACTCTACCGTACTCTGTGCCTCTCATGCCTGCATATGTCTGGAGCCAAGTGGCAGGAGGATACAGAGAGAAAAATGTCTGGGGATGAGGGTGGGGGCATTACCCCACTCTGTTTGGAGTGTTGAAAGCAGAAATTAGTATTATTTGAGATTATTTCAATTTATGTAAATTTATGAAATATGTAATACATCACTCAAAGTTTAGGTGGCCATAGGATGTCACTTCGACCGTTGTCTTTGAGGAATTACATGGAGGAAGGGGTACAGGAAAAGAGAGAACAAAGGGAAGGAAAATGTGAGCTATCCACCCCCCAGACTCCCACCCCTCCAAGTGTGGAGTTCGCGTCCTCTCTCCTTGAGCCAGAATTAGAAGCCTTCTCCTGCTGCTCTCCCAGGCCTCACCCTGGGGCTACTGAGGATCAAAAAGGGAAAATTCAATGTCATTTCAGTGGTGCTACAAAT